TCCGGTGTTGCATGTCAGTTGAAACATTCCAACTACCTCCTAAGGTAACGGTTACTTAAATTTAAGTGGCCATTCCCGAACACCCTTCAGTTTTCACGGTCCTACCAGAGAGTTTTCGCCAGTTGATGTTGCTGACCCCAGCTACCTCTGTTTGGATAATGACCAATCGGGGTTGATCCCTTCCTATTGATCAGGACTACTTATTGGTCAGGGATCAAACCGTTCCAACGGGTTTCAGGCCCGGATACACAAATGGCGACCCCTACCAAACGCGTTTTCGTTGAATCTGATTCCATTGCTCACACATACCACCGAGATGCAAGGGTTACAGCGCGTATTTTAGCTTGTACTCAATAGAAATGCAAACAACTGCGTGATATAGACTATGGTGATCTAACCGAGGTTAAGATTTTGCTGGTGACTAGTTAGGCGAAGAGTAAAGCGCATCAAGACTGGTATGGAGCCTGATTAAACGCATGTGGCCTGTCACTTGTATCAAATCACACCAAACGGTGGCTTACTTGGGTCAGTAGAGCCGGAACATTATGTTGTCGTCCGTAGACAGCTTTTAGTTTCAGTTATTACAAAACCAAGCACTAATGCGGCGGTTTTGGCTGCTGCATTTAAACTGCCCATTTGGATAAAAGAGCAGAAAAGGAAGGTAGGGGTGTTAAGAGCAAGGTCAAAGAGAAGAAAAGAAATTCCCATAGACCAAAGCTGCAAGGATAATGGGTGGGTGCATGAGCGTTACTTCATCACGACAGGGCTGTACCTTGACGTGATGTGATTGTTTGCGTGCCTCCATGACTCTGCGAGCTATACAAGATGGCTTCAAACAGCCAACCCAAACATGGATGAAAGGTCAATGGGTAGAGGCCAGTCTCACAAAGCCAGCTGCTTGGGCACCTCCTGACTTCCTTTGTCTATCCACACCCGCTCCCTGGAGAGGTTACTTCAGCAAATAAACACTAAGGGCTGTTTAACGGTCAAAAAACCCCGCTGGATTGACGTAGGAGCGGGGTATCTGGGGCTTCCTCTCGACGGCGAGAGAAGTCTTCACACTTCGTTGGACAGCTACCGCCCGCCTAAACTGGGCAGCCCACAGTCAATAGGGTGCTGACCCGTCCACGCTTCACCTGTCTCGTTGGATGCATGAGGCTAATGGTCAATCCCGAACAGCGGACCGACAATGAACGCACTAGCGAACAACACACTTAACCGAAATTCAAAGGCCTTGTGTGACAGGTTTCCAGAAGCTCTCAAACAGGTGCTTCGGTCACGTCCCCGCATTGGATCTGCGCCTCACAGCATTTTGAATCAAACGCTCCGGCCGGGGTTCCTCGAGAAAACCCCCTTCATCGGTGTGGGCTACCGCGAAGTATGTCATGCTCTTAAGTTTTTGGTACTCATTTGAAAACTCTTCTGTCTTTTCTGCCTATTTCTTCCTCTCATGCCCAAATCGTACGAGATGCATCTTGTTTGCACCACCCATGTGGTATCACTTAGCGTTCAACTAGTAAGGTCAACCAACCAGAAGCTATTGGATTGTTGAAACCATAATTTTCTTCTTACTTGGTCGCGCTTAATGTCGGCATAGTCAATCAGATCGATCAACAAGTGGCCTGAGCTGGAACTTTTGAAACTTTCAATTCAGATGTATGATGCGTCTCCGAAACAGGTTAATCATCACCTTGAGTTCTCGTGAAATAACCTCATCTTCACGTTTTACTTTTCGTTTATCAGGCGATGCGAAGCTCGCGGTGTTGCTGGATTGTACTAAGTGCCAAGACTGACCACGCATCTCTTGACGGGATTCCGTTTAACAGTCGAGTTTTGACCTGTCAGAAGTTTAGTACTATACTGGAACAGAACCGAAGAAGTCAATCGCGATTATCCGTTTTTTGACAGACCAGAGAGCAAAAACCTTCTGGATAGGTAACCGATGTGTTCACTTTTTTATCCTACCCGTTGCAATCATCTGCCACCATAACTGTATCGAAGCTTCAGCTTAGAGAAACTAGTTCGGTTGTTTTGTTGGAGAACTTGTCCTTCGGTGTAACAGAACTGCAGTTAGGCTGAGATGAGCAAACACCTTTTGACGAGAAGTCACGAGCCACTCCGCGCCGATTTAGTGAACGAAACTTGTCGTCTCTTGAATTGCGAGGGAAGTCTCTCGAACACAAACCCAGTGCATCAAGTGCTTAGACTTCTAAGATCCGGAAATCGCGTCTCTAATGAGTTGTAGATATCAGTCCTGAAGGAGTTTATTGTACGCGCCAGTTAAACCTATTGACTAATCTACATCAGAGTCCTCACATTGAGGGAACCGAAATTCGGCGATTTAAGAGAAATCCGAACCTGCAATTCATTAAGTGATAACTACCAACTTATAACGCTGGAGTGTCGAGAGTTGGAAGCAGGGGTCGACGGTTGAAAACAAAGGTTTCTATGCTAGTATCCCCCTTTTTTGACTCTTGTTTATCATTAACCCCCTCCTTCTAGTTTCCTCATCTCCAAATGATTTTGATAATGACTTAACAAGGAACATTTTTTCCGCTTGAAACGACGTAATTATTTAAATGCTTTCTTTTTTTTTATAACATTCAGACCTTTCTGGCGTGTGTAGATAGCTGATTAAGCGCATCCGAACTTGTTGTATTCCAAAGATTGGGAGGCGGGGATCTGAGTGAGCACTGAGTGGTCACTTATCAGCCCCTACCTCGGTGAATGGAATGGGTAGCACCGTAGAGATCAATTTGCTCGGTGAATGATGCAGGTAACTTGTACCACAACAAATCGGTTAGGGAGGGGAGGGGGAGGCTATTGATCTGCCACAGTGAACATTGTTGCAATGATTATTTCGTTTACTTTCTAGTGTGGTGGCGTACATAAAGAAGTTTTCAACTGCTTCGAATTCGAAAAAAAGCATACGAGCAAATTGAATATGTGACTAGTCTGAAAGACCATTTAAACAAACCCGGAAACTTTGGTTCAAGAACAGATTACTATTCCGTGACTGTACAAACACATATTCTATTCAAGCAACCTACACGCCTAAACAAACTGGGATACGATGACAATGAACCAATTCCGGAAGACAAAAAGGATATACCATTTGGTAATTTGTTCAGTGAGCTGATAATCAGGGAGAAAATCTCGTTTTAGGATAACTCTAAAGCACCGGTTGAGGTGGGGGGGGGTCTATAGGCGATGGGGGCCAGGTAAACTGAACCTCGAAATGTTGAGTTCATCGATCAAGTGGACGTTGGTGATTTGGAATCCGTATGTCATCGCGGTTCTTTAATCACTTCACACCTACTTTCCTAATTCCGTATTAGGCGGAAAAGCACAGGCACGCAGACGGTGTACATGCCTATACGATTTGAGGACCATGTGAGACGCAACCAAGAAGAGGTCACGCCGTGACCCGTGACCCCGGAGAATGATCACTGGATATGGACAGAACTCTCATCAGGTTAGTTCAAGAACGAATTGGATGAAAAAACGGAATCCCGAATCAAAGGGGTCCCGGTCTCAAATCAAATTATCTGCGTGTCACTTCAGTTCACTTATTTCTTCTGATTATATTGTACAGGATTTTATTTGAGCAAAGAGATCGATCCAATAGAATTTCTAAAAAGAGATGATTGGGAATATTGTGGCTATCAGGCTCGTTAATGAATGGACAAAATTAGCCTCTGCTGTGCTCTGGGATATTTCCTATCAACACAGTCAACTGTATCAAGCCGAATCCACATCCATCCAACGCGATAGGTTTGAAAGATGTACTTATAGAGCTTCTTTTTGTACTTCCATTCGTCATGTTCATTTGTATCGTTCAATTAATTAATACGACGAAGTTTTCTCTCCCGACTGACTGCGTTGTCACAAGTTTCTTTATCGTTCTAAAGTGGGCATCCACAGTGGCAGTACAGAGAGCTGAAAATGCACTCAACATGAGCGTATAAAGTTTATACTGACTTGGCCTGGGCTTAACATTGGCTGACGATATTTCGATACTTCTTCCCATCATCTCAACCGTTCTCTTACATCATCGTTGACACTTCGCTCTTCTCATTTTCTTATTACATAACTCTCGTTGACCTACTTGGTTGAACATTTTTTTTACTCGGTGAACTTTCTGCGTCTATTCGAATTCATTTCTGGTTGCATCTTTCTCGTATTACGTAACCATGTCTAACTCTCTTTCCACCATTGCTAAACGGTTTCCATTACGTAACTGTTTTCTATGCTAACATTCTCCGACCCTCCTCCTCTTCTACTCATACTCAAATGACTTTGATAATGACTCAACCACTCAGTGGCTTCTGCTTGATTCCATGTAATTGTAAATGTCCATATATAGTATACCTATGATAAAATTTGACCTATTTAATGTGCGTAGACAGCTGACTGAGAGCACGCGAAATTGATGGCCAATATCAATTCTGCTCATGTTGTATTACTTGTTTTATTCAAATTGATCAAAGGGAAAGGATGTTTCCGATATTTCGAAAGACGGTCGTGCCGTCGTGTTGGTTGGGACAGCTCATCGCAATCGAATGGTCGCTGAGTGATGCGTTCGATAAACCCAACAAAGAACATGGACAAATTAGCCCAGAGCAATGCTTAGTCAGATTCTTGGAGGCAGGGTGCTTCGATACGATCGGTAGTTTGGTATACAGTCCCGCAAATTGTTGCTTACGTCTCTCGAAGCATTTGATACACAACCACACTTATCATCTGCCCGCGACATGGGTCAAAGGACTGATGAGCTACAGACAATTAGTTTGCCAAGAGCAAGAGCTCGATTTGAGAAAAAAAACAATAAATGAATTCCTCTTTCTCATGAATGCTTTTTTCTGATCAAAAGCTCATAACACACGTGAATACTAAATTGCTGAATAAGATCTAAATGTGGTGTTAATGTGATAGAAAACGCTCCGAGATTCAAAAAGAAACAAATTAGAGTGAAAAGGTGTTGAACTGAAGTGAATATATCAAATAAAAGTTGAGCAGACATGATAGATTTGCTGAATAACACGAATGTGTGCACTCAGGAGACGTACCTCAAAGGTCTCGTGGATCAAGGCCGAGGTGTTCGCGGGCAACGTTTCTGTGGATTCTACGTGTTTCCTTGCCACATGTTCCAGAAGCAGGGATCGGGAGGGCGATTTGACTAGACAACCGGATACACCACAATGTACCAGCGGACGTGCGTACTGTTGAATGTGTTCGGCCCAGTCAGTCAGACTAGTGAAAGTCGATTGCGTACAGTGGGGACATTTGAATTGTTGCGACCGTCCTTCCTCGTCCTCCTCCTCGTCCGGGTCGGCATGATGTGTGTTCCAGTGCACTTGGAGTGCAGTGTACTGCGAGGATGCGAAGTGACTATCGCATTCCGGCTCGGCCGGGCACGTGAAAATCTCCCTCGTGGTTGTGGCGGTCTCGGTGTCGGGGAAAAAATGAGCGCTCACGTGTGACACAAAGTGGGTGCACTGAACGCACAGATTACAATAGGCACAGACCAGACTGGTCAGGCGAGGATGCTCGGAGGCTAAATGGGATCGAAATGCGATCGGATCGGAACAGGCGAACGGCACTGGGTTGTTCGTGTCCGCGGAGCTGGGCAAACAGGCCGAACAGATAAAACAACCCGAAGCATGCTCGATATCTTCGATCAGCTGGGATAGAGAACGATTCGGGTGATGATCAATCGGTTTCGGACTAGTCGGTCTGGAATCATCTGAAGCAGCTTGAGCATCTGACGTTGGAGCAGTCTGAGAAGGTAAAAGAGGGTAAATTGAAAATTTGGAGCACAAATAAGAGAATAAATGATCCGTAGATAGTGAAATACTGTCACGCCTGAAACATAGTTGAATCAAAAGAACTATACGGGGGATGGGGTGTATTTGGGACAATCAAATAAATCGAGTCTTCGCATGGTTAAGTTTTGCAAGAACCACCAACGAAATACAATTACTTGTGTAAGATGACTGGTTAACTGATATGTGGTTGGGATCAGGGCTGAGACCCGATAAGGTTCACATCGCATATTTCACGGTAGGCCCGAAAGTATTCAGTTTCTCCCCACGATCACGACAAACTGGACTCTTGTGCATGCGTCTAACTTTTGAGTTAGACGACTCACTTCTGTCTGAGGATATGTCGGTTTCATGTATATCACCGATCACGGTGGCCCACACACGCGATCCCAATTTGCCGGGATCAGCATAAGGACCGGTGGCGTCTGCAATGCCAATTCAGGAAAAGCCTTACGAAAGATTGCGAAAACTAGTAGGTCAAAATAACTAGTGAAAGGGAATTAGCTTCTGCATCAGGGAATAGTCAAAGACTGTTTCACCGGATCCGCAGTACCGGAATTCGTCGCATACCGGTCAGTGAAACCATTCGTGATGAAAGCGGACAGAGTGGTGGTGGTGGTGCTGCAGTGGTTTAGTCGCTGTCACCGGTGCGCTTCGGACCCTATGGTTCGAGCTCCGCCACCACAACTGACACGCAACTTGGTGATAGACAGCTTTGCTGTAGCCCGGTTCTATACCATGCCTGACCTAGCGGGGTCTTATGTGGTTGGCCAGTTCAAGTCTCGGGGCTTAGGTTGCCGATTACCACCAGTGAGCCGCAGGTCTTCGTGACTATGGAGTTCCATCCCGTTTGCTGCCCATCAGACACGGGTGTCTAATAAAAAAGAGTACCCACAATAAAGAAGAACGACTTAATCGATGGGCAGAGTATTTTAATGGACAGTTCAATTGGCCAACAGCTACCTCAGCAATTCCAACGGAAACCCCATGGATGGTAACATCTGAGCCCCCACCATAAGTCGAAGTACGAAGCTTCATTAAATCATTAAAGAAAAGGGAGGCTGCGGGACCTGATGGGCTTCTAATGCTTTTCAAGGTGGGGGTGATTCTCTTGTCGACTCCAT